CATAATCCTTCCTCTTGTGTTCTCTAAAACAAGGGAGGATGAATTAATCAAACTTCCAACATCACATTGACAAAACCAAATGCTATCATAACACAGTGAGATATGCTGCGATATGCACCACCCTCCTGAAGATATGTTTTGTGTCATTGTGTGGCATGTTCCTCCTTGCATGTTCCAAGTTGTCTCCTTGCTTCTTCTGGTTTTGTTTTTATCTGTGCTCTTTTCAACACTCTCTCATTGCCCTGCAATCATCTCACCAACCTTGTCCATAATCCAATGACTTCTTGACTCTAATTTCTTGTCAGGCGAAACTCCTGAAGCAGAGGTGTTACAATTATCTAAAGCTTTTGCCTTGCTTCTAGTAATGGATACACTCAACAATTCCTTTTCTTTATCATTCTTTGTAACCCAGTTTGTTTTTTCATTTTTGGGGTCCAGTTTCTACATATCATGAAAAGTTATCAAATGGGATCCCTTAATAAATGGCATATCTAAAAACCTAGTCGTTCATACAATCTGATAACGTCATCTGATTCATGTAAGTGATCTCAGTTTGTTGAACTTATAAAGGGGATGTTATGAGAAACCATTGCTTTCAACCTACCAGATGAAAGTTTACAGAAATACTGAAATTTGAAGCGAGTAGAGTTTACTGGAGATGTCAATTTTAGTGGGTGTGGTATAAACAAGGGGGCCACTAGCTTGAGAGAGACCCTCTTCCTTGCTGCTATCATTTTCAAACCCAAAATGATTGAAGTAATAATGATTCTAAGTCCCCACCTCTCCATAATAAAAATAAAAATGAAAATAGAAATAAAAATCTTGTGAGGGAAGGGGCAAGATTGTTAGAAATGCTGAACCAAAATAGCTCTCAAGGGCCACATATGGAGGCAAGGTTTCTATAGGGAATGAGTGCTCTCTTTGATTGCCAATGTGGACACTACGGAAATCAGAGGCCTTCCTCCCATTGATGAAAATGACCGCTTTGTTTTGTTTTTCCTTTTTGCGTATGTTTTGCGGGTGATGTAGCTCCAATTTTTAGATTAAGAGACAAAATTTTCAAGTGGATAGGTAAAGTTAATCCACCATCAGTACCAGACCTCACACAGAGTTTTGTTTGGCTCGCATATTTAGCCTAAAATGGTAATATAAACACCCATCAATCATCGCCAGTTTAAAGGGTTTTCACTGCTGTGAAAATTCGACGGTCACTTCACTATTAAACTCTAAAAGCCACTTTCAAGCATCGTGCGTGATAGTGAGCGAGACCATGAAATTGAGTGCCCCCAATCATAGAATCCTGAAAAGGGAAACTAACCTTTGGCGTTCAGGTAAAACATAAGACGTGGTCAGGAGGGAGGCACGTGTCGGTTCTCAACAGATACACCAACTGAAACTGCGCTTGGTATGGGAACCAATTTTTAATGGTAGGTCACAAATGGAACCACCCACCACCAATGGCGAACAGAGAAACGAGTGTGTGTCTGCTGCGTGTGTGTGAGAGAGAGAGATACTATAAATCATCTGGTAATCAAAATTAAAGAATGGATTTTGTTCTCAATCCAACCAACTCCTCCTTTACTAGGGGATTATTAATGCTGAAAGCTGGGGCCTAAGTGTCACTTGCCAGATGCGACACTTAGTGAGGCATGCCCTGGGATGAATAGCTGGAAAAACAATGCAAAGGAATGCCATTTTGGTTCGCAAATTTTTTTAATGGAAAAGTAGAGTTCAGATTAGTACAAACGATGACGATGGTAATCTCGGGGTGGTGGGGACTGAGGCTTCAGGTGATTGCAAGTGCCTGAAACGATGGCGATGAAAGCCAAAATATTTGATAATTTTGTTGAGGTCACGAGGTAGGGTCGAGCATTTGGTGCTTCAAAGTGTAAAAGGTTTAGCGAAGTAAAATTTGTAGCCCCTTTTGTCTCCTGCATTATCTTGCTCGAGTCTTGGTCACAGGAACGGCTACTTTCTTTTGCTTTACTTTGTTGAACACTTTTCCGTTCCAATTGATCCCACAAGTTGATAAATTTGACCATCTAACCAATAAAGCCATTCAAATAAATTGGACTCCTTTCCATCACTTCAGCTTTCATAAGCAAGACTAATTTCTTGGTGTTTACTGAAGCAAATTGATTAGGCACAACTAGCTTAAATATCGTCTTTGACACTATTTATTATGTTATTTCTGAACAATATTTAAGATAACTGTCTCAATGAACCAAAATAATAATAATAATAATAATAATAATAATAATAATAATAATGTCAGCTCAAAACTGCAAAGAAACAGAGAAGGTCGTCTTGAGCTTTAAGTGTCTGCCCCGCTATTTTAGCATGTACTCCTCCAGAGGGGTAGAGAACAGACCAGGAGAGATGCAAAAGAAAAGAAAAGAAAAGAAAGAAAGAAAAATGTAACATTGTATTGATACGAGATAATGCAACAACGAGAGGCTCCAACCTAATGAATCCCGTTAAGACAATAAAATGACAGAAGCTACTTAAACACATCAACAGCGCATGAAGAAAATATAAGATCGACGTATTAATTAAGTTAAAACTCCAATAGCATTCCTTGGAAAATAGTTTGCCTTGCATGCAATTTAACATCAGAAAGATGGAGGGGGCAGAGAAGGACCGCAATAATTCCACTTACTCATTGACTGATTAATCATGTCTGCGACATCTATCTTTAATAGTCTTTGATCTAGTTTTGCTTCTTCAGGAAGAATTTGGAATGTCCCAAAGAGCTGGTCAACTTCCGGTTTTCTTGACAAATTATAGTCTCCATTTGTTCAGTGCTTCTATAGTTCTAGAAGGAGGAGCTGAGTAGGGCATTAGCTCACATGGCACATGCCTCACATATTTCAAAACAACCAGAACATGAATGGAGTAAGGGATATGGAGTTCAACAAAACTTAGGCAAGGTAGCAGTTAATTCTAGCCAGTGAACAAACTGTTACTCCATCTTTCAGGGGGTATTTTCAAAAATAATGGACTTCATCTGCTACTAAGAATTAAATTAGAAAACCAGTGATTCAGAAAGGCAACTCATGGCACAGGCACCAACTATACAAGTCTGTTAATCCTGAAGGACCTAAACCAGACAATTCCAAGTCTGATACGACTGCATGACAAGCAGCTGCCTTTTAATCTCCACTCGTCACTATGACATTGAAAACTATGCTATACTTTCACAACTATACAACACATTTACGCTCTTTGCCTGCCATTACAAAAAAAAAAAAAAAAATCGTTTCTAAACAAAATAAACGGTAGAACTTCTCTAGGACTATTTGATGCCTATAACTTGTATGCCTGGCAGGTAAATTTAAAGAACCAAAGAAAAATGAAAATTCCGGAGAAAAGCTATGAATATGACAAGGTTTAGTATTCTGGGAGGGAAGGCAAGTTTAGTCCTAAGATTATCCATGAAATAATAGCTATATCTATAGCCTCAATTGTGGGTGACAAATAAAAATGCTGACTATTGGAAAATATAATTGCACGTCTAACAAAAATGTATAAATTTATTAGTCCCAATACTTTAAAACTTAAGAGGGCCTGCCATATCTCTGTATCAGAAAATATATATATATATATATAATATATATATTATGTTTGACTATATAACACAATAACAGAAGAAGAATAATCTTCCATTTATTTATGTTCAGATAGAGTACATCAATATAAATTAATAAGGTAGTGGAGGAAAAATGTCAATCACGTTACCTCCTATTCATCAAACAAATAAATCCAAGTAAGAGTTATCCAAACTGATAATAACTAATTGAGATAATATACAGTTAGCAATTCTAGATTAATCAGTTATTTCTTTAACCAAAAGAATCAATTCTCTATAGGTCATGATAAAGATCTCGACACCCCCTCACATTGCCGGCCAGATGCTAGTTGCACCGAACTGATTACAAATGAATCAAACTTAAGTTGAGGCGAAGTTCTGGTTAGGACATCTGCTATATGTTGCATCGTAGGCGTAAATGGAATGCAAATAACTCTGCCGCCCAGCTTCTCCTTAATAAAAACACCGACCAATCTCAATATGCTTCGTGCGATCATGGTATGCCGGTTGTGGGCAATATTCACTGCTTCCTTCCATCACAAAATGACTTCTTAGGAGAATCTAATTTTATCTTTTAGTTCCTTAAAGATTCAATGCAGTCCAAGTATTTCACATGATCAATATGCCACACAATAGAGAATTCTGTCTCTACACTACATCATGTACCAAAGTTTTGTTTTTCGCTCCTCCGACTAACAAAATTCCACGCAAGAGAAGCACAATATCCTGAGTTACATCTCCTATATGTAATTGAAACCCAATCAGCATTTGCATATACTTCTAGATTTCTCTATTCATATTTCATGAACAACAAGCCTCCTCTAAGAGTACATTCACAGTGTCTCAAGATATGATAAATTGCCTCCAAATGTTCATTGTAATGTGAGTGGATGAATTGACCCGGGTAATCACTATGAAGATTTAAAGTGAAATAGAAAAAGAATTCAGCACAACACCACAAATTTAGCTAATTTTCTGATTAAGAGTAAATTACAAGAAAAATTTGAAACATGCAGCACAAGAAAAAGATAACTACTAATCTTTTTCCAGCAATTGCTGAAAGAGAACTATTAGCTATTTCAATCTTTTGATTTCCTGCACAAAGCCTGCAAGAGTAACATCTAATTATATGATCGGGTGCCCTGGAATCAATGAGAAAGAAGTAAAAGCATTAACAAAACATTTTGCTTTATGCAGAAGAGGAAAAATGTCTGTGAAAGCAACAACGTATTATGTGACAACTGATAAGTGATTAAACAGTCAAAATATCTCTCAATTAAAAAACAGCATGCAATATTTGTTCTCTCTAAGAAATGTAAATCCAATGAGGGAGGTGGGGAAGAATATGAAGTAAACTACAAGTATACTGATGGCCAACATTTGCAGATCATGATTGTGAGTCAAAAACACATCAATTCAATAGTTGTAGCTGATAAGATTATGAATGGGAATATTATACAATCAGGATGGTTCCAGTTGTGGTGTGAAATATCTTTAGACAAAGTAATTCTTCTCGCCATAGTATTAGTAATATCCACACGAAATACTACTTATTTTGATGAGAATTCAGACCATACATGACAATGAGTGATACTAAACAGAGTGAATTAAAAACATGAAAGCTAATTACAAAAGTCGTGCTCTCATCATCAGTTGGAGATGGAACTGGACAAACTGCTATTTATGTTAACCGAGATATAACCTGAAGCAAAGATTCAAATCAGCATCTACACTGAAAACTCCAACAGATCAAGAGCAGTTCTCTGACCCTTCCTCTGCTCATAATCGGGATCATCTGTGGGCAGTTCAAACCGACAAACAGGGCACGTATTACGAATGCTCAACCATGGCATAATACAGTCTCCATGGTAAAAGTGTGAGCAAGGAAGCCTTCTCACTTTTTCCTTTCGTAGGATTTCATCTTTGCAAACAGCACAAGCTACATTCTCCCCATCCAAGTCTTCCTTTGTCAATTCTACTAAAGGAAGATTCTCCATAACACTTTTAGCGGTAGGAGGACCACCCTTTAAGGAACTCTCATTTTCCAGAAATTGCCCAAAAAATATATCATATTCAGCTGTGTTCATATAACCATCATCCTGAACCGTTACGAAGGGACCTCCAGTGGCGCCATGCTCCAAGCTCGAATTCCTCTCCACATTGTTGACTGCTAACAGAATTTCCCATTCAAGGTATCTCAATGCCTCTTCACCGGACTCTTCTCCATAGGAAAATCCAGATGCTACTGATTGATCATCAACCTCACCAATCACCACGCTCAAGTCTTCTCCATCATTGACTCTTTCCTCTAAATCCTCCCATTCAAGATGTTCATTGAGGGTCCTCTGATCCTCCAAGCAAATGCTGTCCCAACAAAAATGAACATCAAAATCGTCAAAGCCACTAGCTCTGTTGCCATCATTTTCACCATAACTCAGTTCTATAGCCCTATCAAGCTCTTCATCAGTATTTGAATCCGAATCAGAACTAAACCCGACAATTCGAAGGCCATCCATTTGCGAGCGAACCCTTTCAGAGCCAGATGCCTCACGTACTGCAGAAATCCCAGCATTCTTTCCCGTTCCAAATCCAGACCCTAATTCCGTCTCCGTAAAATCTGACCCTTCTCCACCGTGACCATCGCAAGGAACGGCCGAAAACGGATTAATATCAGAATTATCGTTGCAACGACGGTGAGAGTCCTCCGCCAAGCGATTTTCAAAAAGATCTGTAACAAAGCAACTAACCGAATCGGAGTCCGAATCAGAGTACCAGTTTGAATTGTAGCTCAAATGGTCGAAGGACACAGTTGCAAAGGGGTTCGAGGGGTTGGTGCACCAATGATCGTGAGCAGTCGGTGATGGGAGATCAGATACCTGTTCATCGGGGCCTGATTCTTCACATTCATCTTCGATGGAAAAGAGGGATGGAAGTTGAGAGTTATTAGCCATGGGGGAACCGATATTCGAAAAAGACTAAAAACCAACTTGGCAGGATCTAGCGAACAAATCAGCGAACCTTCCGAAATCCACACCTTAATGGGTTCTCGGGACTCTATCTATGAAATTTCACTAGGCGACGACGAAAACCCTTGGATTTTTCCTTCTTGCGCGTTGTACCAATATTCCTTTTACGATTCTTGCGAGAAAAGAGAGTATAAGAGAGTCGTCACTATAAACAGGAAGTTTCCCCAAGGAAGAAATTTTCCAAATGCCAAAAAAAAAAAAAAAAAACGATGGCTGTAGCCAAGAATCCCCAAGGAAAACAGTATTGTGAATTCTTCAAGAATAAGCAATCTGAAATTCCCCCACATTTTTTATAAGATTATTTTAAAAATAACATCAAGACTAGATCAATTCTTAAAATATTAACAATTTACATGAACAAATTATGGAAATTAGAATATCAACTATTTTGGGGTAAAAGAAGATAAACTATTTTATTCCTTGTTTGAACAAGCATGATGTTATGGAACGCATAGATTATCTAGTGAGAATTAATTAGTCATGAAACATTGAGTGTTTCCGAGAGTCAATTCTCATGTGATAATCCATAAAATTTTTCGACCAAAAAAAAAAACAAGATAATCCATAAAATTCAGTTCAAGCTTCACTGCTTCAGCACGTAAACCGCCCTCAGGAGTCAAGAACAAACAAACAAACAAAAATAATTAAAAATGTCAACTCAGAATGTCAATCCAACCAAAAAATCCACAACATGGATAAACCGTTATTACTGTCAACGAAGGCATCCGTTTTTGCTTTCCGGCAACAACTTAAGATCACAGTTTTCGCCTATTCGGCAAGCTGATTGCCTAATTCTACACTCGAACAATCGAAAAACCGAAAAAAGTAGAGAAATCTGACAACACTTGATAGAAAAAATAAGAGCAGAAAAACAGCAGAAAGTCATACACAAAACTAGAAGTCCCATAGCTTTGCCTTAGCCCAAAAACATGCTTTGCATTAAAAACCTACAATATAATTCCTCATAACAATGTACTTTCAAGGACTGACATCAAAATTCTTGTCCTTTCAACCACAAAAAAGTCACAGTTGAAACAAGTGAGACAAGTATTGCTATGAGCAAGTGCTTGAAATTAAGAACTCCCGCATCTGTTCTTCTCACAGTCCCAATGTCAGGCATGGGCTCCACAGCCTTCTTTTCGTTCTCCTTAGAGGACAAATTTTGTCCAGCCCTGTCCTCCTACAAAAAGAAAAACAGAGACGTACTTTCAGGATAAATATAAGCAATTTTTTAAAAAAATTTGCATAACAATAAAATCCACATTCCCATAAAATATATATATATATATATATTTTGCCCCTAGTCTCCGTTATCAAAGCACTCTATGATAAATGAGATATACACATATACAAATGTCGAGATTTAATAAATACAAGGGGTGAAATGGGGAAAAAAATTTACAAGTACTAAATTACTTATATTTTAAGTCAAAGTTAGTTAAGAAAAAATGTTTATATTTTGGATCGAAGGGAGTATTACTTTTGCGTTCAGTACAAGATAACACTATCTATATATTTTGTATGATCTGCGGTTCTGCACTAAACCCTGGAAAAGGCAAAGTTAACATTGCTGATAACCCAAAATTAGGGCAAAGAATCTAATAAGTAGAACAGTTTATAACAAATACCTGGTATGCACCACCGCACTGCTTATCCAATAATTAGAGATAAACTTTTCTCTTACATGAAAAAATATTTATTAAAATTGCAGTTGCAATGATTGACACGTTTCAACACATTGCACCAGTACATCTTAAACCACAGAGAAGCTTATCTTTTTCTAGGGGTGAAGATATGCCGATATAGAAAATGGCATTAACAGATATTTGTGCATATAAGCCAGGAGCAGCCCGTAAATGAAGAGAATAGCAACTTAAAATCACATAATTCATGAACCGCCATCAGAAATAATTAGTATGAAGCTTGCTGCAGATATAATCATTCACTGCATCTGCAGCACTAGATTATGGAATTGTGGAATTCAGATAGAAAACATTAGTATAGTGGGACCAATGACCAAATCACATCATTGATCAATTATTGCAAAGAAGCAAGAACAGAAGGCAACTTTGTCCTCAAGTACGATTGAAGATTCTTAGGTAGCCAACTATTATCCACACAAAAAACTAGGATTTGGTAATAATTCCTACTCATTAATCAGTATATGTAAATCCCCACTCCTCTTCCCAACCCCCCGCCCCAAAAAAATCAAAACAAAATATTAAAAAAGTCAACAGAGTTCAAAATTCCAACCTTATGGCAAGTGACTGGAGTCTCACAAACTTCTTCCTTAATTTCTCTGGCAGAAGAACCAATATCTCTGTTAGAATCACTAGTATCTTGAGGAGGACCCCCATATGTCTTTTCTAGCTTCACTACCAAAATTTTGTTTTCAAATGCTAAGGAAGATATCTGCAGATGAAACAAACAAGGATTTCAACAAAATAAGAACGGCGCAAAAAGCTAATAAAAAAGCCTTTTAATTCAAGCACGGTGATGCCCTGTAAAAAAAATTTTTATACCAAAAAATTCTTTGCTAATTAAATAACCCAATTAAAATCTTACAGCAAAAAGTGTAAAATTATAAGAATAGAAATAGAAAATGGTGATGGTCGGTCAATTGTTATTCAAAAATGGACCCAAGAAACAATGATGTTCCCAATCAAATGTATCATAATCTGCAGATCAATTTAGAACATTACAATATTAGTAATTTCTTGGCTGATTAGCGAGTAAATATAAGAAATGTCCAATCAAATGTCAGTGGGGTAAAAGCAACCACATGCAAACGTACTAAGACCAAAAAATGAAACAGAACCCTGCATTTTAAATTTTAACAATATTCAGCAAAATTTTAGACAAATCCAAGGTTTACATGTATCTAATCATTTTTTAAAACATCAAATAAATACTACACTAACACATGTGCGGTATACGGGAATTTGAAAGCAGTAAATAGCACCATTCACATAGATAGAATAATATAGGAAGGTACACTAAAATTCATGCAGACATCCTAACTGTGCTATTGACTGGCGTACAGAGGTGAATTACAACTGAAAGTTGGCAAATGTTGAGAAATCAAAAGTGGTGTTCATAAAAGGTAGACTTCTTAAAAGTAGCATAATGAGGGGTTTTCCTCAAGTTGGCCAAAGCTCCATTTTCCTATAAACTCACCCAACTAAGGAATACCATTAAAGTTTTATAACTTATGACCTGAAAGACAAGTAACAGACTCAATCTATACCTGCTTATTGAGACGCTCTCTCTCAACACTCAACTGAGTGACCAAAGTTTTAAAATTCATGGCATGCATGCCAATGTCTTTTGCTGTTGCCATTTTAGTTTTTTCCACTTGATGCAGAGTTTCCTCCAGACATTCCAATCTACTCCTCAAAAAACTTAATTCCTCATTTAACTCAGCATTTGATTCAGATAATACAATACACTTCTCCTCTGCACTGTCAGCCCGACTTTCAAATTTAGAAACATTTGACTTAAGATCCCCAATCACATTTTTCATATCATCAATTGTAGAATATAACATATCTTGTTTCTCCTGACTGGCTTCAGAAGATGCTATGGCATGCTGTAACCGTAGATCAGATTCTTTAAGCTGCCTCTCCAGCAAATCCACCTTGGCAGCACCACTCTCTTTCAAAAGAGCCAGCTCTTCATTGAGTCTAGTGTTACTCTCTGCCAATAATTTATTATCAGCTTCTGCACTAATAGCCCTACTTTCTGCCTTGGATGCATTTTTTTTTAGTTCTACAATACGATTTTCCATATATCTTACATCAGAACACAAAACATTATATAACTTCTGATATTCATCAGCAGAAGCCTTTGCATTCAGTAGTTGAAATTCAGATTGTTTTAGCTGCTTCTCGAGTGAATTCACCTTTTCACTTATCATGGAGTCCTCAGAATTAGCAAGACCTAGTTTAGCTCTAAGCTCAGATTCACGCTGAGCAAAACCATTCAGCTTGAACTGAGAAATCTGGAGTCTGCCAAGTAAGTCTCTCGAAATCCCCATCAGGATCTGACTTGCACTATCTGCTTCAAACCATCTTTCCCATACATCAGTTGCTTCTTCCTCTGCATAAACTAGCTCCTCCTCTAAGGATGATATTCTTAATTTTAGCTCTTCTTCAATTTGTAGTGAATCATTCATATTTTTCTCAAGATCTATTTCCCTTGCCAAGGATTTCTCTAGCATCCTCAGGATATTCCTTTGTTGCTCAGCGGTGTGCATATTTATCTCTGGATTCATATTTAAAGATTCATTATCCTCTCTGATGATTTTACCCACGTCACTTCTCCCTGTTGTCATTGTAAGTAAAGGGGGAAAACATCATTTCTTAAGAAGAAGAAAATTATTCATACCTAGTACTCTTATTTGTCAAAGCAAGCAGCTCTCTTGAGCCAATCAATTCAATGACCAACAAGTGTATAATCTCTTCTGTACAAAATATCCACGTGAACAATAAAATAAATATGCCTTCATTTATTTTTATTTTTTTTGCCACTCTTTTCCCCCTTTTTTTAATAAAAGAACCCATTAATAATAGAGATCATACTGCCTTAGACAACAATATCTCAGGAAACTGAAGCGGACCCTTGGATATTAGGGCACGAATAAATGAATAACTTCTTGTACAACTGCATAAAAACGACAATTTTCAAAACAAACAAATAAATAAATGGGATTCAATGATTACCAGTTTTCCCCCTCCTGAAAGAGGACAAATTCCTCTGAAAATTCGTCGATTGCATCTTGATTACAGAAAACTGCTCTTCAGACTGCTTCAAACGCTGCTCAAAATCACACAAGTTTTCTTTCATTACCATAAAAGTTTCCCCCAAGTGGGTGCATGACGATGTTCTCTGTCGAGCATCAGCAATCTCAGTTCGCAGTGTGTGCAAGAACTTATCCAATTCTCCAACCTCTGAATCCAGTATACCCGATAAAAGATCAAATTCAAGACCCTTCTCAACGGAATCAAGTTCCACGTGATCTTTCTCCATCGCGAAGGCCTCAAATTCACTATCCATAGTAGCTAGACGCATCATAAAGATGCTCAGATTAGTAACTTTCTCAGAGAAACCGGCTAAACTTAACTCCAGCCTGGTTAGAGTTATGTTATCAATGCCGATATCTCCAATATCCTCCCCATTGGGTGATTCGCCTTCAAGGAACACGATTTTATCCGTTTCGGCATCAAAGTCAGTACCAACATCACCAACAGATGTTGCAGCTGCCCCATTTTCAGCACTTGCAGCATCCATTATAGCAATCCAGTTAGCCTGAAACCCGGCAGGTTCAGGATTAAAATTATAAGTTCATGCCCACAAATGAAGCCACCAGGGAAGAAGAGGGCTGAAACAGAATCAATATATTTTACATAGTGGGTCTAAAGCCATCGAAGGGAGGCGAAACAAGTATTGCCAAATTCCACCAGAGAGAACCGTAAGAAATCATACCGTTTCAGTCCGATAACTCATAAATTCGATCTCAGTTTGGAGATTCCGTTTTAACAGAACCGCACACGCCCTAAAAGTAGAAGCGGATACGATGCCGCTCCCGCCCCAACCCCAACGAGTCTGACTCTGTGCCACCAAACTGAAACGCAACGTTTCCACGAGCAAGGTTCTTTTTTTTTTTTTTTTTCATTTTTGTTTCCAATGGCCCAAGTGAACTCCATAGCAACGGGCCAAGGCTCCATGCTTCCTTTGGTTCTCAAGGTGTTCTCTCTTTTTTTTTTCTTTTTAATATATACAAAAACACACACGCACACATTGTCACGCACACACAAAGGGCTCTGTTTTTTTTTTTTTAATGGTATTGCCCTCTAGGAGGCTTATTAAAATGTATATGTGTGCGCACACGCGCGCGCGTGCAGGCCTCCTTGTTTTAATGCTACTAGGCTTTTGTTGTCAGCAAAACTCTAGTACCAGTCTCGAACGACATATAATAAGTTGAAGTGCGAATAAGATGTGTTTATATTTGATATCTAATTAATCTCTAATATAATAATATTTATATATAATAAAAAAATAGCATGAGGCTTTAAACTTGAAAGATAAGAGGATGGTGTACCAAAATGAATAATGACACTTTTTGTTTTAGTATACATATTAAATAAATTATAAATTAAGCTTGAAATTACGAGGTTACGTGCAGTTCATTATTATCGTTTCTCACCTAAGCTAAGGTAATTCACGATTTTCACATCATTGGTTGAGTTGATGAGATTCAGTATGTGTTCCCTCGTGAAAAGTACGAGATGCTTTCCTTTTCAATTTAATTCTTCTCAACTTGTGTTGTTTAATTATTTGTCATCATAATATCGGTGTTCTCTAGGAAAATCCTCAATTAGCTTTATTTATACATTTATGATGGAAAATTTACATATTGTTTTTTTTTCCTAGGTATATTAATAATAAAAAAATCTTCTCTCTACTAATAAAAATTGTTCAAATTAATAAGAATTTGATTAATAACTCGGTTGTAGCTGTAAATCCTGTTACTGATCTGTAAATATTCTTTATAAGTGTTTTGTGATTTTGAAAATATATCTTAATCCTGATGAGCTCCTAAAATCAAGCTCACCAAAATTTTCAATTATGAAAAAAATTGTTCTCTTCTCATATTATGACATTAAAAAAAATTCTAATCACAGCATCACAGAAAAAGGTACCTGTTTAATTGCAGGTCATAACCATTTGCACTCATGGAAAATTTTCAGAAAGTGAAAAACCAGTGGCCCCAAAGTTAAGAGAATCATTGCTCTTAAATTATATTACAGTGCCGATGATGATAAATAAGAAAAAATTAAAAAAGGGAGGTCACAAAGTCCCGATCCACATGAAGCATTTCATCACCAACATGTACTCCAGAAAGCCACGTGAGAGGCCACTTGCTCTTAAATTATGTCCAATTATTTGGATTTTGGGGAACGACCTATCATAGCTTGACAACTTACATATTCACTTGCTGTGTTCTGAGGCGACTTGTTTGATGGCAAACGAGAAAGTGCAATTGCTGACCACCTTGATTGTGAAGCGCAGGAGATTCTCACCCATGATATTGTTATTGTTTAATTTAATTCATGATTCCATGTCTCTTCAATCCCTCCAAGGTTAACGTAAGCTTTTGATATTTACTTGTAACTAAGTTCTTTTATACTTTAATTGGTCGTCTTACTCGTGTTCCACCTCCACTGCTTTAATCTAAAGGTGTTTATGGGACGGAACACCCTCATCTCATATCTCATTTTGAAAAAAAGATCGAGATTAAATTTTGACCCCGTGTTCATTCCATCTCAAAAGTCATTCCGTCCCGTTAAGAGTCAGGACTGAATCGAGACATTCCGCCATCCTGATAAATGAAATAATGTTAAAAAAAGATCTGGATAATAACGTTCATAAAATTTTAAATCATATAATTTATTAAGTTTAAAATCAAAGCAACACAAGCACATAAATAACAATAATTTAAAATTAATTATTGAATTATATTAATCACAATTACATATTATAATAACAAATATAAGTGATCTTTATACTATAAGATTAGCAACAATAGGTAAGTCAAACACAATATCAAATCATTGTTCTTTTATTTTAGTGAAGATATACTAGGCTAATTACTCTTCTAAAAATGAGTAAGAAATATGTTACAAATAAAAGTTATTAAATAGATAGATATACGAATAAATTATATTAATATAATTAATATATTATAAAGAAAGATATCGTCATGTTTACTCCATGCCACTAAAAGTATCAATATAAAAAAAATTTAATTTTAAATAAGAATTGCAAGTATTAAAAGTATAATTGATATATTTAATATAAGTATAAATTATATTAATATAATTAATATATTTAAAATAAAAAATAATATATATAATATTCGGGACGGGACGGGACGGGACAGGACATCTCGATGGTAATCCCGTGTTCCCTCCCATCCTAAACTCCTTTCCTGTCCCGTTCTGTAAAGTCTCATTCCAATTATTTTCGGGCCGGGACAAAACCCATCCCGATATGATCGGGACAATATCAGGTTAATCAGGATGAATCTAGACTGAACACCCTACTTTAATCTTCTTTTAAATTAAGGCTTGATTTGGTTGGGGTTTTTGGGGGAGGGGCGGGAAGCAAGAAAGGTTGTTTGATTGAAAAAATTGAAAAGGAGGGAAGGCAAATTTTATGACTAAACTGTTCTTATTAATCTTATTACATTCTAAAATTATCATTGATTCAATTAAATAAAAAATATGACACCACTTCTACGTGTCATTGATTGTTTATTACTAACTGCTCTATATCTATCTTCAATTATAACCCTTGCATATTTTTCTACTAAAAATTATACTTAAAATTAATGATATAATTTGTTAAGCTAGCGCCTTTTTGTAGACTTCTTGGCTTAATTAATATTCAAAAAATATCTTTGGTTGCAATTGGAATAAAAGGAAATTGAAATTAGTTGAATGATTTTAAATTATTATTTTCTTTGATAATTTAATCCAATGAGATGCTGCTCTCATAGTTCATACATTGAACCAGATGCTTTTTTTTTTTCCCTGTTACAAAGAAAAAGAGATTAATTCAACACATCCATAAAAAACAGTAGGATAAAATTTAATTGTAAAAGGTACTGTTTACGATATACAGATGATATACTTATATGTAACATTGTAAATAATTTAAGGTAAATATGTGTGATCTTTTTTAAGGAAAATGTATGACAAATGACAGCTCACACCATAAATTTATTACTTTCGGCCCTATTAAAATAAAAAATCAATCGCGAGTAAATTATCATAATTAAAGCATTTAAACTTCAATATCATCAATGTGATCTTAAAAGCTTATTAGCGTCATCTCACTCTGCATTGTGGTAATGATATCAAATGTCAAATCTTCATCGCTGGACCAACCAATAAAACTCATTATTTAGGTTAACAAGTGCAATTAACAACAATTAAGATGTTAATAACAGAAGACTTATGATACTTCTCATTATTTTATCATAAATTCGTGGCTGGGAATGCGTGGAATATAATATGTGATGAGGCGTCCAATTAATTAAGTAGAAAATTCATACATTCGCGGTAATCGAAGCACTTACGTCTCGCACTCTTCTTTGTTATTGCAAATTACAAATTTTAGCAGTTTTTATTAATTTTGGTGGGGAATGGGAGTCGCGCTCAAATTGAAGGGTTACATATTGTAAATGGGCCCTGGTGCTGATGAATGTGGGCCCATTGGCCCAATTGGTTACGAAAAGTCAGATTACAGACCGACGATGGCCTTGACGCTTTTATCAAAAGCAAATATATTATAAAAAAAAAAAAAGCAAATAGAAGACCGGTGGGTGCTAGAATCAACTGATTGGAGATTTGATTCAACTTAATTAGAGGTTTTAATTTTAAGTTTTGAATATATAACATTTATTAAATTCTTTATTATTTATTCTTTATTCTTAATAGGAGATGTGCCATTGAAAAAGTACTCAGTAAGCTGTCGATTAGATTAGTGGGACTAAAAACCTATGATATCAGCAAAAGCCAAAAAAAAAAAAAATCAACATATACTATTATAGTTCTACTGTTTTCATTTTTTGTCTTGCACGACAAATAATTTTAAGAATTTCCAGTCGTTCTCTGGTTCGATAACTCCTTGACATCTTGATTTAACAAGGTTTGATTATTATTAAAACTATTTTTTTTTCTAAAAATTACGTAAGAAACTTCATGCTTCCTTTGAATTTTAAATACTGAATAGGGTTGTGAAATTCTGCTATCCTGACAAATCCTGAAATGTATAATATTTAGGGAGACAATTTAGTGGGTCCCTTTGCAAAAGAAAATAGTTACGATATGAAATAAAATAATGTTATTATTCTTAGATATTTTTGGGTTACTGTTATTGTTAGACCTTAAAAAAGTCGGAATCATAATAATTATATTTACAGATAAAAAATAGATTAAAATATGTTATACTAATCAATATAAATATGTATTAATTATTTTTTTATTAATATAAATTATAAAAAATAATTTAAAAAATATATATTAAATGCTTATTAAAATAGATAATTTTACTTGTATAAAAAAATAAAAAATATAATTTTTTTGTAAATAAAAACAGATAGACTAGTTAAAACACTCCAATAAACAATGACACAACAAGGATTCAAAATCATGAGTGCAGAATAACTAAATAAAAAATTAATATTTTTAAAATAATAATTTAATAATTAAAAGTAATCATTATATTATGACTAAAATTGTACCGATATAAATATGTTTTTCATTATTTTCATTTTAAAAATTATATTGAACATGTTAATATAGTTTTTGTTACAAATATACTCTTTATATTTTACTTAAATCATTAAAATATTATATATCTAATAAGTTTTTAAGTTCAATTTTTTTAAAGAAAAATTAATCTTTTAGTCCTTCAACTTTTAACTTACTTGTAACTCAGTCCCTTAATTATGACTCGGTGCGACTCATTCCCTCAACTATAACTCGTTGTAACTCAATCCCTCAATTTTTAATTTACCTATAACTCA